GATCATGTTTAATGTCCATGTCACACCTATGCCGGTAGTTGTTGGGAACACTAAGCTCGAAGTTGTTGACGAGTATGTTTACCTGGGACAAATAGTCCGACTAGGTAAGTCCAACTTCGACCGAGAGGTCAATCGACGGATTCAACTCGGTTGGGCAGCGTTCGGGAAATTACGGCACATCTTCTCGTCAGGTATACCTCAAAACTTGAAAACGAGACTGTACACCCAGTGCGTGTTGCCAGTGATGACATACGGAACTGAGACGTGGTCCTTCACTGCTGGCCGGATGAGGAAGCTCAAGGTCGCTCAGCGAGCTATGGAGAGGGCTATGCTCGGAGTTTCTCTGCGTGATAAACTCAGAAATGAGGATATCCGCAGTAGAACTAGAGTGACCGACATAGCCCAACGGATTAGTAAGCTGAAGTGGCAATGGGCCGGCCATATAGCTCGAAGAACCGACAACCGATGGGGAAGAAAGGTTCTCGAGTGGCAGCCTCGTACCGGCAGGCGAAGTGTAGGGCGTCCCCCCACTAGATGGAGTGACGACCTGGTAAGATATGCAGGAAGTCGATGGATGCAGGTGGCTCAGGACCGTGCTTTGTGGCATTCTTTGGGGGAGGCCTATGTTCAGCAGTGGACTTGTGAAGGGCTGTAATGATGATGATGATGATTCGCTATTAATAAATTATTAATTTTTAAGTATTTCTGGTCTACATTCATAACTATGAACTTAACTACTAAGCCATAGATTAAAATAAATTTTCCCGTTAATCGGGTAATAATAGTTAAGCTGCTGGCATATACAATTTTTCACGCACACTAGCATCCTTGCAATCTTGTACACACTAGAATATTTGTCTTATACATACTTATACATATACATACATACTACCACAATATACTACTACAATAATTGTCTTATACACACTAGAATATTGCCGTATTCACGGAGCTGTTACATGCAGGTAGCGCGGTATCTAGTCAGAGCGCGCGATGACCTATCATTAATCTATGGCCAAGTATATTGAACCAAGATTTTAAATTTAAAATGGGATAGAATAAAGCCAAAGGAAACCATTAAATAATTTCTATCATCTACCGTATTTGAATTGGCTACTTATGTAACCGAATTGCCGTGAGTAGCAAATTTATTCTTTTCAATTTCCATAAATATTTGTATTTTTAATTTCTTTTACGGCTTTTTTATACCTAATATGTTCTATATGAAAAGAAAAACTTTCAAAACATCTGCTCGCTTGTTCTTTTTTTTTTTTAAACTATCCTATTATATGCCAGTGCATCTGATATCCTATCTCATCTGATAGTAAGTGTACGTAGCCGAAGCTTACACTTAGCGAAAAAGCTGAAGGTTTTGAACAGCGCACGCACTGCTGTATACCAATCTGAAGAGTATAGAACAGGTGTCGCCAACGAATCGCGATCGTAAAAGCCAATTACAGCCAATATCAGCCAATTTATTGTAGGGACATAGTATGTAATTTTAACTATCATTTTCCCTACTTAGGCTACGCCTATGACATCAAGTCGATCGCGGTTCATTTTTAGCACATAAAGTAGATCTTAGTGATAGGGCGCGCATATACACATGCGATAGGGCGGCCCCCCACTAGATGGAGTGCCGACCTGGTAAGAAATGCAGGAAGTCAAAGGATTCAGGTGGCTCACAACCGTGCTTTTTGCGTTCCTATGTTAAGCAGTGGACTTGGGAATGACTGTACTCGACTGTGTCGAGTCAAAATCAGTTATTTGGTCTCTGTCGAGAAATTCTCAATAGCAGCCCGCAGTCAGGAAGCTGGCGGTGTTCCTCCGGCCGTGCCTCGGAGAGCACGTAAAGCCGTGGGTCCTGCGCCTGATGTTCTCCCCGGTCGTGTCAAATTACCGTCCCATCGAACTATGAGAGTGAGGGAATAGAGAGTGCACCTGTGCGGGATTGGAATCACCGTGTCCGTGAAAGTCACCAAAAAGCGAGGTTTATTTTAAATATTGGCTGTGGTATGGGAAAGCCGAGTCTGGTGAGATTTATAAAAACATGGTGGAGAGTCGCAGAGTTTTTAAAAGTAAGTTGAAGTGGTGCCAGAACAACGATGATCAGATAAAAATGGACATATTGACTTCACATCATGCAGATAAAAATTTTGTAAAATTTTGGAAAGTAACTAAACATCTTGACTATAAATCTAACTTACCTGCGAGTATAAATGGTGTGCACGAACCAAAGTCAATTGCCGACTTGTTTTCGCAGCACTTCAAAGTTGATCCCTTTCCAACTAGAAATATACAGCAGTATGTTGCTATGCCCGTTGATATTAAAAGTACTGAGGAAGCTACCTCGTTATTCACACCGGACCTTGTAGAAAAAGTGGTTTAAAAAATGAAAAGGGGTAAAGCCCCAGGTTTTGATGGATTAAGTTTAGAACATTATTTATTTGCAGGTTTGGACATTTTATAGTATTTTGTCAGAATTATTTACGTTTTGTGTCAATTCTGGATATTTGCCGAAAAATCTTATGCAAACGGTGGTGGTTCCAATCCCTAAAAATAAATCCGGTGACCTTTCTAGTCTTAAAAACTACCGGCCGATTTCTTTAGGGACTATTATAGGTAAAGTTCTGGGAAAGCTATTACACCCGAGTATAAGCAACAACATTAGGATTGACGACACGCAGTTTGGTTTTCGTTCCGGACTTTCAACGGACTCTGCAATCTTCAGTCTTAAATCGACAGTTAACTACTATATAGATAGAGGTACACCTGTGTATGCTTGCTTTTTAGACCTTAGTCGTGCCTTTGATCTAGTTAACTATCAGCGACTATGGCAAAAAGTAATAGCATCAAATGTACCCAGAAATACTGTGGATCTGTTGACATACTGGTACGGGAACGAGACAAACTTTGTGAAATGGGGCGACGCCTTCTCTAATGATTATTTATTAGAGTGTGGCGTACGTCAAGGTGGGTAGACCTCTCCGGATATGTTTAGCTTATAAGTAAACGAACTGATTGAGGAAGTTAGAAGTACAAAAATTGGTTGTCACATGGGTACAATTCGTCTGAATAATCTCAGCTACGCTGACGACATGGTGGTACTGAGTCCGTCAATCAGGAGACTTAGAAAGTTATTAGACATATGCGAGCATTATGCACGGTATCATGGCCTGAAGTATAATGTTAATAAAACGCGGATGATGATGTTTCGCACGGGCAGAGGCCCGGAGAGGATTCCGTTAGCATTTCTGGACGGTGATGCTGTAGTAAGAGTGAGTCTATTCAGGTACCTGGGGCATATCCGCCCAGAGAGGAATCCGTTAGCATTTCTGGACGGTGAAGCTGTTGTAAGAGTGAATCTATTCAGGTACCTGGGGCATATCCTGACTGAGGATTTGCGTGATAACCTCGATATAGAACGTGAAAGAAGAGCTCTGGCTGTTCGGTGTAATATAAGTAGCCAATATTACTGAGTATGTATTTTATTAATTTATCATTTGTTTACAAATTCAAAATTGTCTGTGTCACGTCAGCATGAATTTAATGCGAGAAAATTTTCGTACAATGATTTTTTATGAATTTTGATGTCATTTAAGTCAAAAAGAAAGTTATGATAGACTTCGATTGGCCTTTCACGATTAAACCCCATCTCGTGCCATTGTTTACAACTGGTTTAATGAGTATAAACGTGGTCGCACTAATCTCACCGATGATCTACGTGAGGGACGGCCTTCTGCGGCGACGACTGAATATCAGTGTTATGCGGCATATGCGACTAACAATTTCATACTAAACACAAACTCATAATTTGACAGAGGCCCAAAACTCTGTTGTGTTGATTGGTGTCGTGAAATGGTTCAAAGATGTACGGAGGTGACTCAAATGCTGTATTCGACGTACTTACCGATGACGAAAGCTGAATTTATGTTATGATCCTGAACTAAGAGACAGTCTGCTGTCTGGGTGTTTCCCTCCGAGAAGTTGCCAACTAAAGTGAAGAGAGGTCGAAGCGTGGGAAAAAGATGGTGATATCGTTCTTCAGAAAGACAGGTCATTACATTTGTTTTAGAGAATCGAAAAACAGTTACTGCAGAGTGGTACATTAACAATCGTTTGCCATTTATCTTGGAAAAAGTTCGAGAAAAAAGACCTCGCAGTAGGATCCTCCTACACCACGACAACGCCTCGTCACACACCGCCAAGCAAACAATCGACTACATGGCGCCGTCAGACGTGGAATTACGGGGTCACCCTCCCTACAGCCCCAACCTCGCACTTTCGATTTTTATTTATTTCCGAAAATAAAAGAAAAACTTCGAGGAAAATGTTTTATGGACGCTGAGGAAGCAGTGCCTGCGTTTCAAAATGCTGTCGAAGAGTGGCAAAGTGCTTTTCTCAGTGGTTCCATTGGATGCAGCGATGTATTGATGTAAATAGACACTATTTTGAAAAGATATAATAAAACTAATAACTTGCTAGTTTGTTCACTTTTTGATTTTCCAAGAACTTTCAGTGTCACTCTCGTAAATGACATTGTGTAACAAAAAAAATCACCTTAGTGTCAACTAGCGACATCTAGTAAGCGGAAGATTATTAGCTCTCATTACTCTATGTACTTCTTTATTTGTATTTTGTACCATCTACATCTATTCTATCTATCATTTACTCTACTATGATCGATTTTTTTCCACCAAATATCAGACTAATATTCTTACTAATGCTTAGTAATGTTTGATAATTGAAAAACTTTCTTCGTTTTAACTTTTCACCCAAAATTGTTGCCAAATTACAAAACAATAAAGTAAAGTTCGCTCTCTACATTAATACTTAATTACACATCAGTTAAGTACTTCAACAATTAACATTTTAAAAGTTTTCAAATGTTTTATTGTGTATTTTAAACAATTTTATAAATTATCTTGAAAGTATTTCACAATGAAATACAAATTTACACTAAATACTACATTTTTCGGATTTATGATTACATTTATAGTTTAATGCATTACAGTACGCAAAGTCGTATAAGCTGAATAAATGGACTTGAGCACGGACATCAAACAAGTGAAGTTTAATATTGCAACTCCGCCTGCTGAGAGAGTGAAAGGCTTCTGTGAATTCTGAAGAATCACGAGTACTGTTCTCATGTTGCTTTTATCGAAATTTTCCCAATTGCAGCCGTATACAGCGCTCTCGAATGCTTCATTGGCGTCTAACAGTCGTTGACCAATCACACAATCCATGGCCACTTGTATCAGCGAGAAAGGCAATTCGAGATAAGTTTTTTCCAGTCCTGCGAGTAGTTCTGCTATCAATGCAACTATAAGAATTAAAAATTCGATCGCTACGGCACCGCGATATATAATATCCAGCTTACGTAACAGATTAATGTTTACTGCATGGCGTTTGACTATGTCTTTTAAACGGTCTTTGACAAATTGATTTATGAATTTTGCTTTTACGTTAGGAACAATGTCTTGAGGGTTGTAAATTTGGTTTTGTGTCTCTCGATAGAATGTTTCTGCATCGTTCCAAATCTGTAGTAACTCTTCACTAAGTGCTAACATTTGCGCTTCATTGTACCCACTGATTGTAATAAAGAACGCGGTAATATTAGCAGGCAGGTAACAAGTAAATAACACTCCAACTGTCATAAGCGTCATTCCTATCTCGTAGTTTGGTGAATCGTGCATTGGTTCAAGACCTGTTGATAAAAAAAGTAATTTATATTAATTTTTAATGGTAATGGGAGCTTCCTTTGCCTTCAAGCAAAGTCGCTTATTCGCGTTTCTCGGTGTATTCACTTAAACTAAAATTACCTGTTGAAAAAGGTATTATATACTCAGTAATAGTAGTAATAGTAAAGGCAAAAAAGAAAAATCTGGCCTAGGATGACACACCTTAGCATATTCTGAGTGGTAGTCCTATTCGTACCAATTCCCATAAAATAAAATTTTAAGGTTGGCTATTCGCTTTTTCAATCGACTTCAAAAAGGAAGAGGTTTACTATTTGTCGGAATCTTTGTTTTTATTTTTTATGTATGTTCACCGATTACTCAAATGCGCCTGAACCGATTTGGAAAATTCTTTTTTTGTTTCAAACAGTATACTTGCCAGGAAATTTTTTTCGAAATCGGTCAAGCGATTTAAAAAAAAATCAACATTAAATTATATTTATATTGAAATCGGTTGTACAACATTCTTAATTTTACCACTTGTTATTTATTTCTTTTATTTGTTTTTTTTTTTTATTTATTTTTCCTTGTAAGTGTATAATTAAGTCTAGTTATAAGCTTACTTATACAATGTTATTAAGAGTAGCCAGAACTAATTTGTTAAGAAATGGCCTAATAAATATCTTTCTTTCTTTCTTTTAACTCCGTCCAAAGTGGGCATTTACTTGAACCACTATGAGTAAAATAACAATAAAAACTTAATTATGCAAAAAAATAATATTTTTTTTATCGCCAATTTATTTATAGTGGTTTGAGTGTTTTGTTTTGCAGCTTAAATTAAGGTTAAATATAAAAAGTAATAATTACACTGACCGTAAATAACGTACAAGTCCTCGGCGAAATGTTTACCGGGTAGAAGCATAGGTTTTGTGACGTAAGCCACTCCGTTACCCATGATCACGATCCAGAAGATCAAGGCACGTTTCTTCACTTTACGCAAATATTTCGTAAGGTTTATATGAAATCGGCTTCCTGGTGTCACTTGGGAATCGCACATCAGATATCCCTCAACTAAATCTCTGATAGAGTCCCTGGAATACAATGGCTATGTTTACAAGTGCTTACGGTTATATCCAACAGTGGACTTTAATAGGCTGTAACAGCCTATTAAAGTCCACTGTTGGACATATTTGCCATAGTTGCCACGCTTGGCAAGGGAGTTGACAACCGCAGGATTTTCTAACGACTTCAAAAAGGAGACGGTACTCAATTCGACTATATGTTTTTTTTATGTATTACCTCATAACTTTTTTCTGGGTGAACCGATTTCGATGATTCTTTTTTTATTTGAAAGCTGGCGCTTCTCATGTGGTCCAATTTGATCAAAGTGTGACCAATAGTTTTTGAGTTATTCTTACTAATTTATATAGAAGTCTTGTACTAATTTTTAAATTTTCAATTATATTTTTCAAAGTAAATGAAAAGATTAAAATAAATCTACTCATTTCCAACCAGTATTTAAGAAATCCTTTCCAAATGTTATTGTATCTAAATACTGTTGTTGTTTGCACTTTTACCGTGTAGTGGCGGTGTAAGAATATCCACTACCCCGTTTCATCACGTGGGTGTCGTAAAAGGTTACAGAGGGAAACTAACCAGGAGATGGGCAGCAGCATGTTCTTAATAAAGATAAAAAACTGCTGTTGCCAAGCCGCCTGCTAAGCGTGGCAACTATGGCAAATATTTCCCTTAAGGAGTAATCTATGGGGAGGCCTATGTTCAGCTGTAGATTTTTAATAGGCTGTAATGGTAATGGACCAGCCTTAATCTATGATGTATCCTTAGTCGATTATGTCTATTCCGAACACTATGAGAAGAAAGTATTATTATTATTATATGCTTTATTGTATACCACAAAAACGATAAAAAAAACTAAACTAAACTAAAAAACTACAAGGACTAAAACTTAAGAGGTAGGTACAATAAGGCAGTCTTATCGCTAAAAAGCGATCTCTTCCAGACAACCTTATGATTAGGAGAAAATTGTACTATTCGACAGTGGGAGCTAGTGTATATTATAGTGAACTTATATTATATGAAGAAACACTGATTTCCATTTGACTGATTCCACGAAGATTGAAGGATTTTCCAAGTGGAGAGCCACACTGCAGTTATATTATGTGTAGCACAAATGGGAAGGCTCGATATGGAAGAGCCACGCTCTCAGAATACTAGCGCAAAATAGCAGCTTAATGCCACTGTGGTCCGTCCGATGAGTGTAGAGAACCGGGACCTTTTTTACTGGATATGAGGCATTCCATCTTAGTCCTCAGGGATGACAACGAATCTGCATTTTAATTCTTAATCGAGGATAGATATAGTGGACTCTGTGTGTGTGTGTGTGTGTGTGTGTGTGTGTGTGTGTGTGTGAAAAAACGAGTATTCGGAAGCACCAGCTTTTCTGATCCCAGCGGCGGATCTGGTATGTGGCTCCGCCCCCAACCAATTGTGCTGTGTTCGCAGTGCTAATTGTGCTGTCTTGCCAGACTTAACATGACTAATTTTTTTAATTTTAACGCTATAAAAATAATTAGAAACAATACATGTGAAATAAAACGTAGATGAGCTTGGAGATCCCGATCACGCTGGCAATACCAAGTGAAAACACAATCACGGCAGCAATCACGTCGCCTGTCTGCGGGTACCGCACCAACACAAACCACACCATAGATATTATGTACACGTGGGAGTAACACAAGGCTGCCACCACTGTCAAAATGTAGAAGAATATCGAGATTCCTGTAAAGAGTAAAATAGTTAGTTTTTTCATGTGAAAACTTCTATAGGCACGTTGGATTCGTGCTTTTAGGATGGGGAAAAACACTTAACTCACGTGATCGTCACGTTCAAATAAATATAATACAAATGTGCATATATATATATATATATATATATATATATATATATATATATATATATCTTTATATATAAAAATTACGTGTCACGTTGTTTGTCCGCGATGGACTCCTAAACTACTGAACTGATTTCAATGAAATTTTGCACACTGTGTGCATTTTGGTCCAACTTGAGAGATAGGATAGTTTTTATCTCGATAAATGACCCTCAAATTTTTTTTATTGCGAATTTATGGATTTTTATAGGAAGGGTCGTTGGAAAGGGCAGAAAAACGTTTGTCTGGTGAGCTAGTATTTATATATATATATGTATATAAGAGAGCTATATACAAAAGGGTTGTATATAAGCTCTTTTGGGATGGGGAAAAAGCACTGAACTCACGTGCCCGTTACACTCAGAAACACATGTACAAAACTAATATTTACAAGTTTGTGAAGCTAAGAAGTTTTCTCTTCTGACGTGCAGTCCTACGACTGACAGTTTTTTTTTTAATTTTACGTCGTAGAGCCACGATGCAGCTATATTATAATTGCAGCACGAATGGGTCAGCTCGACCGGTGTAAAACAGCAGTGTTAATGCTTTGTTTCTTATGGTAAGTGCGGGAGACCCTTTTTACTGGTAATGAGGCATTCCATCTTAGTCCTCCATCTTAATATTTAATCGACGATTGATGTAGATGTCTATGGGTCACAATATCCACTTACTACCAGGTGGGCTGTATGGTTGCTTGTCACTATTATTCAAAAAAAAAAGGAAGTTTTAATTCGGCGACCAAACTAGAAATTACAAAATACAATCCGCGCATATAATTTGATTAATAACTTCTACAATGATAATATCATAGAAATCTAAATAATATTGCCTTATTATTTGGATTTATGTATAATATTAATTCTTTCCCTGTACCATGAATCATACATATATGAACATTTCGATTGTTTTACTCGTGTGTCTATTTAGTGGACAGGGAAACTTAATAACCAAACTAAAAACGAAATCAAATATAAAAGAAAATTAGGCGTTTGTCACTTTAGCCTCAGTTAATTAAAAAGGATCTCATCATAAATACTCATAATATAAAATACGAAGTAAAGTATATATAGATAAATGTTTATATTGTTAAAACATAGTATAAAATTAAATCTAAATAAAATGTTACACACAATATTAAAAAAAAGAAACTATAATAAAGAATGTTATAATCTTTATATATAAAAGTTACGTGTCACGTGGTTTGTTCGCAATGATCTCCTAAACTACTGAACTGATTTCAATTAAATTTTGCACATTGTGTACAGTTTGGTCCAATTTGAGAGATCGGATGGTTTTCGGTAATGAATCGGGGAACGAAACGAACCGAACCGAAGAATCGTTAAAAATTTCATTTTCAAGTTATGAGGGTTTTTTCTTTATCAGCCCTTAACTGTTGTACTCCTCGTCGTCAATCTGAATATTTATATTTTGACTTACAAAAAAAAAGTGTCACACTCCTTTCACACGTTCACCACCAAAGCATTTGGCTAAGGCAATGTGGGTGCAAACTGCAAACATGGCCTACAAATAATAATTGTTCCGAGTTTGGACGTTTTGTGTATGTAATTTATGTATGTAAACGCCTTCACGATATAGAAGAAAATCCTGGGGTAAGGGTAGTAAAAACACTTCGTACAAATCCTTAAATATTGATCCTCTGAGGCAAGATTCAGTCAATCAATATAAGTGTACAATAAGAAAGTACAATACTGTTGTTCATTAAAAAAAAAAAAAGAATCGCGAAGCGGGAGGTGGATATAAATCTTAGAGTGAGAATATACGAATTAAATAAAAAAAAAATAAAAAGACAAGACGATGAAATTTGAAAATAAGTAGGGTAAACGTTTTTTTACGTGGTAGAGCCATGCTGCAGCCATATTAATAGTATAGTTGTAGCACGAATGGGTTGGCTCGACCGGGGAAAGACCATGCTCTCACATAATACCAGCGTAAAATAGCAGCTGCTGTGTTTCATATGGTGAGTGTAGAGAACCGGAGACCCTTTTTATTGGAAAAGAGGCATTCTATCTTAGTCCTCACGGCTGACAAAGCATCTGAATTTTAATCCGCAAACGAAGATAGATGTAGATGTCTATAGGCCACAGCAACCACTTACTATCAGGTGGACTGTGTGCTCGTTTGTCACACTTATTCTATAAAAAAAAATACACGAAAACACCATGTAATGACAAGGAATTTCACAAGCGTACAGATGTGAGAGACAAAAGACTTATTGAAGTAGAAGGATGATATTCATCCTACTTGAATAAATCTTTTGTCTATATATATATATTATACGAAGAAAAAGTTGTCAATGAAATGTACCGTGTAATAAAATGACCGTAAGTAATTGAAGAAGAGGAGATGAGAACAGAGTTGGACAATAGATTACTTACGGATTGATGATCATAAATTATGAATTTTAACATTTTCACTGTCCGGTTTTCAAACACAATAGTAAGACAATAGCAATGACCTATATGTAGTGCACCGGACAGCGAAAGGGTTAATATGCATAAATAAGTATAATAGTGTTCTCTGCATACTTATACGTTAGCTGGTAGAGAACACCTTAAGGTGTTAAATCCGTCTAAAGAATAAATAAGGTCGAATTTTATTCAAACTACGGCAGGGTTTAATAAAAAAAATATACGTACGTTTCTTGTCTCGCTTGTCGATATTAACCCAGAGAACCCTGAGGAAAATCGAGACATTCCATAGCATTGTCGGCAGGTCGCTGTATTTCAGACCAAACTTTTCTGCTAACTTCCACATGCTTCCTTCAAATTCATATTTTTAAACATGAGAGAAATGCAGTTTTCATTAATTAGACCTAAGCAAAAGTCTACTGCAGAACAATGGCATTTCCTCTAGATAGCCTCATAGTGGGGATATTTGCCATAGTAGCCACGCTTGGCAAGCAGGTTGGCAACCGCAGCTTTATAATAACTTGAGTGTTTTAACAACTCAAGCTCCTGCTCATCTTCTGTTTCATTTCCCCTCTGTCACCTTTTACGACAACCACTATACGGCTAAAACATAGTGTCATTATACAGGGTTATGTTGGTTGGTAGGTTTGCAATAACCGGCCAAACTTGCAGAGAAGCTTCAGAATCAGTAATATAGGCAAATGTTGAAGAAAAAAGAATGAAAAAAATGTATTAACCATTCTATCTTTTTTATCTTTTAAATTCAAAATGCGTGGTAATGCATTATGATGCCATACACGATCCAGTTTACCGTCAAGTTTGCAGCGCTTGAAGCGGCGTCAAGTTTGCAGTGCATCCATATGCATATGCATACATCACTCACGCACAAGTTCGCCGTCAAGTTTGCATGATGCCGCATCAGTTGAAACCATGACGTCTCTCGCATATTTGCTCCGACTACCGTCATGCATACTTAACCGCTCATACACAGGTTCAAGTTCGCATTACGCTGCAAGCTTGATCAAGTCGGCAGAATTGAAATTCAATTTTTGCTTCAAGTAGACTTGTCATGCTCACTGATAGCCATACACCGTCAAGTTTACCGAACGCCGCTTCAAGCGCGCTGCAAACGTTGACGGCAAACTGGATCGTGTATGGCGTCCATTATTTTAAGTCATTTTGCTGCGCACGCACACATTCGTAAGGGTCGATCGGTAGGCAAAAACGTTGTTATATACCATAAATCACGTTTAATTGGTATAGTTTCAAATAAAAGTAGAAGCCTTATTTACCCGAATATTCTAAAACTGCATTAACTGTATATCATGATTTATATATTAGAACTTAAATTTAAAATTTGGCTAGTCTTTGAAAAATAACCCTGTATATTAACTTCAATGGGTACAGAAGCGGACGCTGCACACCGGACTAATTGTTCTATAACTATCTCAAAAAGGAGAAGAGGTCTAAGTCTAAACTTACCTATAAGTGATGTTAGTCAAAAATAAATATTTACCAACACTTAGTAACTATCTACCGATTTTTCGACAAATGTGGTTGGCTAGGATAGGTTATATCGACTACATTGATGAACGCAAGTCAGCAATTAAAAAACAAATTTAAATAATGTAAAGGCACATTTGTCTGAATTATTAAAGAGAGTAAGTAAGCTCTGACCAGTGATTGGCGTTTCAACAGCTTGATTGTTCTTAATTGTATGCGGGGACGTTCGCGTAATTGCTCTTTTTTTTTTCATTGTGTCCACGCTATAATTACAGATCTTTAATTATTATAAACTAGTAGAAAACTTTACGGGCGCGCGCTACAACTCGCCAAAGTTTTATCGTAATAGGATGAACAGTATAATAGACGTACAAACAAACAAAAAACCATTTTGTTTTTTAAAAGCATTTACGCTTCGCGGGCGTTCACTTGACAACTCACCAAAGTTTCACCGATGAGAACGACATATAAACAAACAAACGTATAAATATACATTTTTATATATTAGAAGAAGATTATAATTTATAACTTTGAACAAATAAGGACTTATAATCTTTCGCTTACCAGATGTCGCTAGTTGGGACTGAGATGAAGGTTTTTGTAACACAATGTCATTTAATTGAGAAATTAGTTTTAAATAAATGTTTATCAGTTTCTAGAGTATAGTACGTCAGGGTAATATGTTCACTTTCTTAAACCTCAAAAACTACAGCCTTGTTTGCATAGATAGTTCTGTGATACGATAGCTCTTATAATTAATAGAATCAGGCGTTACTTTGCGGAAATCCATTATATAAAAGCTACACCCAACACCACTAGCGGTGCTGGGATTAGTGGTGACGGGGATAGTGCACGCAATTGAGGGAGGGCGGGAGGTGCTCTTCATACAAGGTAAGACACATTATTTTATTTTATAACGCGGATATTTGCGAAGTAAATTTTTCTAAAAGCTTTTATACGATAGCTCTTAGTCAAATAATAAAGGATCAAAAGGGTGCTGCTATATCGACGCCATTTTGACAGTTAAAGTTATTGTAAATTATAACTAATAAGTAGGTCACTCAATAAGTTTTGAGATGCTCGATATTTAAAAATGGAACGCACCGGTGTTATATGTTTCTAAAAAGCAAATTTATTTAAAAATGGAACTCCGTAAGCCAATACTCAATATTAAAAAAAAAAGTTCTATTATTTTCCTGCAACGCTTCCAGCGGTTTTCATTTAAAACGATAGATCTTAACCGTGAACATTTGCGCGCTATGATATATTATGATTTTAAATTTGTTTTAACCGAACAATTTAGTTTACAACGGTTACAATCAGCATTAGGGGACTCAGCTCCATCACGCGCAACAATTTTTAGGTGGTTTACTGAATTCAAAAGTGGTAAAATTAATCTTAAAGATGACCAAAGAACCGGGGCCCCGCAAACAGAAGTAACGGCAGAAAATGTATGGACTACTGAAATGTTGGTGCGAGAAGATCCACGAATCACATATACGGACAATGGAAAGATTGTAGACATTAGTTCGGGGAGCATTTATACCATCCTACATCTTGGAGTGAGGAAGCTTTGTTGACGATGGATCCCTCGTTTGCTCTCCGAAAGCGACTCGTGTGGATTGGTACCATGAAATGCGTCTACGTTTTAAAAACGGGGCATCTAGGCGTGTTTCAGAAATCGTTACTGGTGACGAGACATCTATCCGGAAAATAGTTACAAGACAGAAGTGAAGACAGTTACTGACAAAAATGCAAAGACCTCGCAACGTCGGCAAAAAAATGCTGGAAAATTGTAGGTCAGTCAACTCTGAGTGGTATATTACAGTTGCATTACCCAAAGATTTTCAAGCTGTGCGGGAGAGAAGACCAAAGACCGGGCTTCGGGGAATTATGCTGCATCACGATAACGCCTCTTCACATACCTCCCTTAGAACAAAAGCATTTATTGAGGAATCTGGTGTAGAAACTCTAAGTCACCCACCCTACAGCCCTGATTTAGCTCCTTGTGATTTCTTTTTGTTCCCAAGAGTCAAAGAAAAAATAAAAGGCAATTTTTTTTCCGTAGAAGCCGTGGCTTCCGAACCCGAACAAGCGATTTCCGAACCTTCAGAACAAGACTGGCAAAAGTGTTTTCAGAGTTGGTTTAGGCGAATGGAACTTTGTATAGAGCATGATGGAGAATATTTTAAAAAGATGTAAAATAAATATTAATAGTATCTAGAATACTTTTTGTATATCTTAAAACTTTTTGAGTGTCCTACATATATTAGTTATAGTATACGACTTTATGTTTTTGTTTCTGTCCTTCTCCTCGTCTTGGATTTTAAGGGCGGTAAAGCCAAGCCCAAAGGTGACCATATAACCCTCACTTATCTTACTATATTAATACACAAAATAAATCCTGAGTGGTTTGCTCTTTAATTTTTTGCACATTAGCTGTTTTTTAATTTTTTCTACTTTAGCAATATCCGTAGTTTGGTTTATTGATTTCTAATCTAATTACCTAATATAAAATATAACATACAGAAAGTGTATAATATATAATATACAGAAAGTGTTAACCCTTACATTTTACTAACAAATTAACTTCCCCGCTGTGAAATCTGTCAAATATTTCACCTCATTTGAATGTGGCGCCGCCCTGGTGGCAGAAATCCCTCATTAAGTGAAATTTAGTGTTCAAGCATTTTGAGCTGTATGTAATACGTAGGGGTACTACACATTGAAAGTTGTTTTGCGTTCCTGGCCGCTCATAAATGTTTGAATTTCAATTATTATATAAAAAAAAAGAAACTCACTTATTCAATAAAATAATTTTTGGCGGAAAGTCGCATGTTAATTTTTTTCATCTGTAGCAAAAAAGGAATTAACGCGAAAAGAAATATTAAAGGCGATAATTTTTTATGAATTTTATAAGCCCATTGTCTCCGCAAAATGCACAACTCGTCTTTAAAATGCTTTTGGGAGAGGAGCACCGTAATCCCTCATTAAGTGAAATTTAGTGTTCAAGCATTTTGAGCTGTATTTAATACGTAGGGGTACTACACATTGAAAGTTGTTTTGCGTTCCTGGCCGCTCATAAATGTTTGAATTTTTTTTTTAAGATAAAAACGTTACCCCCACACTAGGATTTTCTCCTGTCTTGTGGAGGCAGTTTACAAACACAAATTGCACAAGGACAAACATCCAGACCCGGAACAATTATTTATAGGCCATACAAATACTTGTTCCGTGCGGGATTCGAACCCGCGGCCCCCAGCGCAACAACTCATTGCTAAGCCACTACGCCACGGAGCCGTCAGAATTTCAATTATTATATAAAAAAAAATAAGAAATTCACTTATTTAATAAAATAATTTTTGGCGGAAAGTCGCATGTTAATTTTTTTCATCTGTAGCAAAAATGGAATTAACGCGAATGGAAATATTAAAGGCGATAATTTTTTATGAATTTTATAAGCCCATTGTCTCCGCAAAATGCACAACTCGTCTTTAAAATGCTTTTGGGAGAGGAGCACCGTAAGGCGTATTTCATGTGACCGTTTTTCTCTCCATTATGAAATTCAACTGGGATCACTGAGACATATGTGGCTTACTGTCAAATGACTAGTTCAAGAAAACTGGTGCATCATCCATAAGGAGATTCGAGGTATTGGTATTAACCAAATTAAAAAAAAAATACATCAACATTAAAAAGAAAAATTTTGTCGCCACTGGATTCTTTGTAAATGTACCCAGAACAAAAACGGGCTAAAATGTTGTTAATCACGGTTGTTCAAATGCTGAGTACATTGTACCAGGAGATGAAACTTGGATAATATATTGTTACATTCCAGATAAA